CTGGGAGACCTTCCAGGAGACCTTCCGGATGTTCTTCTGGACAAAGCCATGGTGGTGGGGCCAAGTTAGAGGCGGTTAGAGGCCAAGAGGGGAGAGGAGTTGTGGATGATCAGACCAGGATGGGATGGTAGTTGTGGGTGATCAGGCCGGTGGGGGGGGGGGGGGGGGCGGTGGCGGTGATCAGGCTGGTGGGGGGGGGGCAGTTGGGGGTGATCAGGACTGTGGGGGGACAGTTTGGAGTGAGCAGGCCAGCAGCGGGGCAGTTGGGGGTGAGCAGGCCGGCAGGCAGAGTGGTTAGGGGCAATCAGGCAGGCAGGCAGGTGAGTGGTTAGGAGCCAGCAGTCCCGGATTGTGAGAGGGATGTCCGACTGCTGGTTTAGGCCCGATCCCTATAAACCGGCGGTAGGACATCCTTCCAGGGGTCCCAGATTGGAGAGGGTGCAGGCCGGGCTGAGGAACACCACCCCCATGCACAAATTTTTTGCACTGGGCCACTAGTCCAACTAATAAAATTATCAGAAAGACAACCGAGAAAATGGAAGGCAGGAAGCAGTGAAAAAAAGAGGTAACAGGGGAGACTGCCTCAGAATGAGGACACAAGCTCCACTGCACCAGGGCAACCAAGGGGCCACCGTGAGACGGGGAGACTGCCGCGGCCTGCAGGCCCCAGAGGGCCTTTCCCAGCTACACGTAGGCATTCATCCGATTGTTTGAAAAGCACAGCACAGGAGCCTTTCGTCGGCATGTTTTCTCCCAGAATGCAACAGCCCCAGGCCTGACGCCAGCATAAATCCAGAGGGAGGCCAGAACGGAGGTGGTGTCTCACACCCCAATCCCAGAGGCCTCCAAGCACCTTCACCCCCTTAGCCTGGCATTCGATGCCCACCCGCATCTCCAGTCCGCTGCTTCTCTTGGCCACATTCTCAGCTCAAATGAACTAGCCCCAGCACTACAAAAAGGTGGGGAGACCCCGAATTCCTCACAATTTCCTTTACAAAGAAGAAAACTTGGGGCGGGGATGTGCTCCCTACACAAACTCTCCCTCTCCTGGCAGGGCCTCCACCCCTCACCACCCTTCTTCACAGCGCGGGTCATCATCTCCTTTACCTCCCCCCCCCCACCCCCAGCTCCAGGAGAGCTGAAAGGTGGGTGTCTGCCCAGCGCTGCCTGTGTAGAGGTACAGTGTCTGATGCATCTTAGCAGGTTCGTGTTAGGGGCTGAAATGTGTCCCCCAGAAGTCTAACTCCCAGCACCTCAGAACATGACTGTATGGAGACAGGCCTTTGAAGAGTCGGCGTGTTCAAGTGAGACCACTGGAGTGGCCCTCACCCTGTTGCCTGAGGCCCCCAGCACCCACCAGCCCCCAGGACGACACATGCTGGTCCCGCCAGCTGCACAGGCTCCCTCCACATGGAGCACCGCTTCCTGCGCCGGCTCCCGAGTCCCTCCACCCACCTCAGGAGCAGCCCCAGGAGGGCTGGGCTTTGGGGGCTCAGCCACAGTCTCCATCTGGCAGGACCCCTGTCCCCTCGGAGCCCCTCACTGGCCGGGGCTGGGGACACCTCTCCCCTCCTGTGCTCTCCCTCCAGGGAGTCCCTCCCACTCAGAGGAGGAGCTTGGGGTCTTGTCCTCAGCCACGCCCCAGGCTGCGGGGCTTGAGAACAAAACCAGTGGCCTGCCAGGAGAGGAAGCAGACCCAGCTGCCGTTTGTTTTTAAGAGACTCTGATGAGGGACTATTGAGTGTGGGCATTGGGAACCCAGCCGGGCGTGAGGCCCCTGGGACCAGCCGGGGAGGGAAGAGAGGGCCAGTAGAGGGTTACCGCAAGAGCTATCCTGGGGGAGGGCACAGCCATCACCAGAGCTGCAGGCTGGGTAGGTCGGAGCCAGCGAGAACTACCCTCGCCTCTCTCCTCTCCCATCTCGGGCCAGTGCTCCCAGTGGCCAAGTCCAGCCAGAAGCCAGGGGCCCTGGAACCCAGTGATGCCCTGGGCACAGAGCAGGACAGAGCAACGTGGGGGGGGGGGGGGTGGGAGGCGGGTGGTAGGCAAGGGACCCAAGCAAGGCCAACAGGCAGGGGTGCTCCCACCTGCGAGGCCCAGAAAGCCTCCCAGTGAAGTCCACGCTAGTGAGCGTCACCTGTGTGAGTTGGGAGTCTCTCCAACAGAGAATGGGCAGGACCAGCCCGTGGCCAGAAGGGCTCAGAACCAAGCTCAGGGCTCTGCAGCCGAAGCCAGCACTTGGAAAGTCACCCCCAACCAGCCAGAGGCCCTAGGACCCAGACACTCCGGGGTCACCACCACCCCCAGAATGGATTTTTCATGCCCCTGCTTCTCTAACCAACACCTCCCCAAATGAAACCGAGAGCAGGGCATTTGATTGGCTAAACCAAGGTCAGGTGCCTGCAAACAACCTTGAAGAAAGCCCGGGAAAGCAAGCACCCCACATTCCGATGAGGCGGAAACCACACAGTTGGAGGAAGTTTCCCAGGCTGGGCAGCCAGCAATGCCCACAGGTACTTCTTCTAAGTCAGCGTCCTTCCGACAGTATTTCCAGACTGCGATCCTGGCCCCGACCTTGGTGCGTGTCGCCGAATTTCTCTCCCTGATGCTCATTCATAACCGTGTCCAGTGAACATTGCCTCTTTTCAAAAAACTAATAGGGAGGCCCTGGCCAGCGTGGCTCAGTGGTTGAGTGTTGACCATTGAACCAGGTCACGGTTCAAACTGGTCCGGACACATGACCCGGGTTGCAGGCTCAGTTCCCAGTGGGGGGCGTGCAGGAGGCAGCCGATCAATGATTCTCATCATTGATGTTTCTAGCTCTCTCTCCCTCTCCCTTCCTCTCTGAAATTAATAAAAACATATTTTAAAAAAATAAAACTTAAAAGAACACTAATAGGCAAAATAGGATTGATATCTCATTGCTTAATTTTCCTTTCTTTTTTGGTTCCTTTATTAGTTGTATTCTGCAAAAGTCTCTGATGCTCGGCTTAGAACACATGTCGTTTTGTTCCAATGGCCGATTTTTCATTATTTTCCTCTTTGTAGCCCGTGCTAGAACCAGCTGGCATTTGCACACGGTTCCATTCAGCAGGGGAACAGGGAAAAGAGCCCTCAACTAGATCCATGTTTCTTTCTCTTCCACGTAAAACAGGCCTAGAGGTCAGGCCAGAGCTGGCCCCGGGCCACGGCATGAGGCTGGCAGGACCGCTCTCCGGCCGCCGGACAGCTCCCCAGTGGCCTATCTTCACTGTCTCAGGTGGCAGCTGGCGCTCCTACATCCGCCCAGTGACAGGACGGGGTAGAAACCTGCCTTTACGACACTGCTGTTTGCATCTTGTTGGCAAAACTCAGAAATGTGGCCGCACCAGGGGGCTAGGCAGGCAGTCAGCTGCAACAGCCTCATGCTCAGGGTCGCGGGAGAAGGGCCCGGAGGACAGGCCGCCGTCCTGGAGGCCAGCGGGGCTTGCCTGCGGGGTTCAGGGCACCTGAGGCACAGCTGCTTTCCTCCTTTGTACTTCGGAGCATTCCCTTTGTCCATCCACCCAACGAAGGTTCTTTCACAGCATTCTACACTCTACACTTGCGTGGACTGGCTAATGCCTGTGCTTGCCTCTCCTCGGGGGCAGATATTGTATCCCCAGCAGCAGCACCGAGTCCCTGCTCAGAAGACATTGGGTCTGTGAATGAGGCTGTGCCAGTCCTCTGTGCCCGGCTCTGGGACGGGTGCTGAGGGTGCAGGGTGAGACCTGCCCTTGGCACTCATGGCCACCAGAGGAGGCCAACAGGTGCCACCAGAGGACTCCCAGAGCAGGAGAAGCTAGGGAGCTGGCGTGGCTGGGCTGTGCTTTATGAGCTGCAGGCAATAAGGGGTCAGGTCCTTAAGGTGCAACTTCAAGTTCCTCTCAAGCCCAAGGTGAGAAATGTAGCCACCTGTGGCTTTCAGCAGGAGGGACAGAACAGGGGGGAAGAGCAGCTGGGGGGACAGAACGGGGGGACAGAACAGGGGGGACAGAGCAGCTGGGGGGACAGAACGGGGGGACAGAGCAGCTGGGGGGACAGAACGGAGGGACAGAACAGGGGGCAGAGCAGCTGGGGGGACAGAACGGGGGGACAGAACAGGGGGCAGAGCAGCTGGGGGGACAAAACAGGGGGACAGAGCAGAAGGGGGGACAGAACAGGGGGGACAGAGCAGGGGGGGCGCAGAGCAGCAGAGAGTAGAGAGCAGGGGGACAGAGCAGGGGGGACCATGAAGAGCTGACGAGGCTGGGGAGAGGGCTCTAGGAGGCCGGCCAGAGCGACACAAGGAGCACGGGTCCTCAGGACGGGTCCTCGGGACGGTTGGTGGCAGACAGGATGCCCCGTGGGGGCAAGAAGGGAAGAGGTGGCTGTGGGGCTGGGAAACAGTGCGATGGCCTAGGAGGGAGTCTAAGGTTGGATGGAGGCCAAAGTGAGGGGTCTGAGAAAAGGAGGGGAGACCGTGCAGTGGAAGAAGACAAAGGAGGCCCTGTGCTCCTGAGCCGGCCAGCCAGGCCCCGGGGGAGTCTGGAGGAAGGAAGGGCTGGAGAGGGCCTGGCTGGAGCTACAGCAGACAGCAGTTGGACGCCTGCGCGCCGAGCTCATGGCTCAGCAATGCCCCAGCCCTGCCAGGAGCTGTGGGCCCTGCCGCCTCCTCGCCCACCCCCCAGCCTGGCCCGACACGGGGGCTCTGAAGCTGTCCCCCGTGGACCTCCTCTTCACAGAACCCAGGCACGCACACCCTCCCCACCACCCCAGCTCCCCCGGCAGCGGGTGACACAGGTCACAGGCCAGGAAGGAGAGGGAGAGAAGGAAACCGGCTTCGGGCTGAGCCAGTGAGAGTTAACGTCTGCGGCGTCGGCCCGACAGGCCTAATGAGACCCAGGTGGTCCCCTGGCTCCAGCAGATGCTGGTTCGGCGCCCAGCCGGGGAGAGGGGGCTCTGCAGCTCCAGGGGGTGGGGCCGGGCTGCTGGCGGGGGGCCCAGCACATAACTCGGCGCGGTCGCCGTCTGGGGCAGCAGACACCCAGCCACTCCGAGCTGAACTGGCAGCATGAAGGTACGGGCCCTGGGTGGGGGACTGAGCCCTTTTTTGGAGAGGACCCCAGCCAGAGAGGGGACTGGGACGGCACCGGGGCTCTGGCGGCAGCTTGCTCACCTCCGAGGGCACGGAGCCTGGCTCAGAGCGGGTTTCTGGCGGGGCGGTGTGTGTGTGTGTTTGGGGGGGGTGCACAAGTGCGCAGAAAGCAGGGGCTCTGCGGTGTCGGAAGGACTGTGTTGAGGACCCTGATTTCCTGCCAACAGGCCCTCCTGGCCCTGCCGCTGCTACTGCTGCTGCTCCCCACTCCCCACTGTGCCCCCCAGGCCCCCTTGATCCGAGGAGATGGTAAGCAGCCCCTTCGCAAATGCAGCCGGGCCCACAGGCGGGCGGGTGGGCGGGAGAGGCTCCAAGCCAGTGTCTGGAGCCCGCCAGCTCCTGCTCTAAACGGGGCAGGTGGACGAGATGACCTTCGAGCACCCCGTCTAAGAACTTGCAATTTCTTGTGAGAGTACCCTGCCCCTAGGGACAGAGGCAAATTGTGGGGTGCACGGTGTGAGCTCTGCCTTAGCCCCTTCCTCCCCCTCCCCGGCCCCCAGCTCTGGAGAAGTCCTGCCTTCAGCAACCCCTGGACTGCGACGACATCTACAGCCAGGGCTACCAGACCGACGGCGTGTACCTCATCTACCCCGAGGGGCCCAGCGTGCCGGTGCCCGTCTTCTGCGACATGACCACTGAGGGCGGGAAGTGGACGGTGAGTGGGAGGAGGAAAACAGAGGCCCAGCTCTGGTCCCAGCATGTGACCAGGCTGCACCTCTGGGAACCTCAATTTCTTCATCTCTGTCCCCACAGCATAGTTTGTAAGCCGCTGTCAACAGTGAGTTCTAGGGGCACGTAATCCCCATAATAACCCTGGGAGGAAGGTTCCTTTTATAAAGGAACTGAAGCCCAGAGAGGTGAAGTAACTTACTCAACATCACACAGCCAGCACGGACTCCTACCCTGGCGTCTGACGCCGTCCTAACCTCTTCAGCACGCAGCAGCTGCTCGAGGGGTGCCAGTGTGCGCCTGGTTTCAGCTCCCTGACCAGTCCTTTAACAAGCCACCTTAGTACCTCAGGGTCCAGTCCGGGGTGAGGCCCTGTCCACTGGGCCTTGAAAACCCAGGCCTGTCATCTCTGCTCCAGGTTTTCCAGAAGCGATTCAATGGCTCAGTGAGTTTCTTCCGGGGCTGGAACGACTACAAGCTGGGCTTCGGCCGTGCAGATGGGGAGTACTGGCTGGGTAAGGCGGGGCCCGGGCAGGCGGGGGGCCCCCTCCCACCCCCAGGCCAGGGCCTGGCTGACCTGCTGCCCCTCCGCAGGGCTGCAGAACCTGCACCTCCTCACGCTGAAGCAGAAGTACGAGCTGCGAGTGGACCTGGAAGACTTTGAGAACAACACGGCCTATGCCAAGTACGCCGACTTCTCCATTGCGCCCAACGCAGTCAGCGCCGAGGAGGACGGCTACTCCCTCTATGTGGCAGGCTTCGAGGATGGCGGGGCAGGTACCCTCCTGGCAGGCGGAGGGGGTGGGGGAAGGCGGGCTGTCCCTGACCCTGGTGGCCCCTCTCCCTTCCTGGCTCCCTGGAGCAGCCACGCCCGCTGCCAGGGAGCAGCTGCTTCTCTTTGTGCAGCTCAGCATCCAGGCTCTGGCTGGGGAAGGGCGCCTCCCCTCCCGTCAGCTCAGCCTCCACAGTCGCCCCTCTTCCCGCCAGGCGACTCCCTGTCTTACCACAGCGGCCAGAAGTTCTCCACCTTCGACCGTGATCAGGACCTCTTCCTGCAGAACTGCGCTGCCCTCTCCTCAGGAGCCTTCTGGTTCCGAAGCTGCCACTTCGCCAACCTCAATGGCTTCTACCTGGGTGGCCCCCATCTCTCCTACGCCAACGGCATCAACTGGGCCCAGTGGAAGGGCTTCTACTACTCCCTCAAGCGCACGGAGATGAAAATACGCCGGGCCTGAGCCCTGGCCCCAAGCCCCGGCTCCTGGCTGCTGGCCTCCAGGAGCGCTCCCCTTGCTGGGCTTGCGCCCCCTGCACCCCTCCCCCAGTCAGCTCTGCTTCTCACGGGGCTTTATGGCTCTAGACCCAGCTCACCTTCACACCAGGCGTCCACCCGAGCCAGGCCTCTCGCCCTCCACCTGAGGCAAAGCTGCCAGCCAGTTCCCAGGCCTCCTCTGCCCCCGCCCAACACCGAGCCAGGAGCTGCTCGCCCCGGCGGCAGGCTGGTGTTCCCCTTCGCCAGCCTCCTTCCCGCGGCTCAGCTGCCGGGCGCGCCTGGCGTGATCCGCACCCAGAGGACGCCAGGCCCCCTGCGTGGCCGCCATCACACACCCTAGCAACCCCCCTGGCTGTTCTGAGCGTCTCACCCTTCGCTGCCTCCCACCAACTCCTTCTCTAGTGGTGAGCACCGTGGGCCCCTCGCCCTACCTATCACCTCAGTGTCTCTGCTTCCTGTCCCAGGCCCCCAAGGTGTATTTCACCACAGCTCCTGCACGCACCCCAAACAGCCACAACCCGAGCACAGGCTGCGGTGGGAGGCTGGAAGCAGGCGGGGGAGGTCTCAGCCTCAGGACGGGCGAGTGGGCTGTGGCGGTTGTATGTGCAACTGCATCTGTTGGCTCCCAACGTGGGGCCTGGCTCCTCCTTCCCCTTCCTAACAGCACCCGCCCTCCACTCCAAAGACACGCGGAGTTAGCACCAGAGGGAAACTTCTATTTCACAGGCCTCATTTTTATGGCAAAGAGAACGACTAATAAAATTACATAATAAAAATAGAATACTGAGAAGGCTCGCCCGGGGAAGAGGGGTTTCCTGATCCTGTCGTGGCTCATGGTGGCTCAGGTGGCTGCTTAAGGCTGTGGGGTGGGTCTCAGAGGAACCTCAGGATAATCCCAAGCCAAGCTTCCCCAGCCGGGCCTGGGGCCTGGGTCTCCCTGGCACCCAGGCACACGCTGTGGGCCTCAGGGCTCCTGGAGGTCAGGCAGGTCAGCCAGCAGCATCGGGGAATCCATCTGGATCTCACGCTGCAGAGACTCGATGTCAGAAGGGTTCATGCCGTGGCCCTCGAGCCAGTCAGCCAGCAGGGATGCTGAGAGCGAGGCCGAGTCTGTCTGGCTGCAGGGAAAGGGGAGCAGGGAGAATTGTTCCCGGGGCTGGCTCCCCAGCCTGCCCCCCAAGGTACGTTCCTCCTGCACCAGGAACCCAGCTGCGCTCCAGAAGTTCGGTCCAGCCAACTCACCCATCCTGTGGCCCATCCGCCACGCCCATATCGAAAGACTGGTTGAGGAATTCTTCCAGGTCAAAGCCAACGCCATAACCGGCCCCACTGCCCTTTGGCGTGCCCGAGAACGCGGGGGGCAGAGGGTCCTCCACCTGCAGGGGACATTGGCAGGTTACGACGCAGGCACCACCAACAGCGGACTGCGGTCTGCAGGGAACCCCTGTCCTGATACTGCTCTAGACTCCGTCCGGATGCCCGCCATGGGTGCCAGCGCCAGCCTCGACAATCCCTGCGAGCTGGCTGGGCCCCTCTCCAGGCCGGGCCTTCCTGGGGAGCATCGCATTTACCTCTCAGCCACCTGCTCATCAGCATTATGCTCCTCCTACGAGCATGGGCATACGTTCAGAGAGAAAGCCTCTGCTGCTCACTTTTCATGGAACAAGACACACCTCCAACAGCAAGGACTTCCCACACCCATTTCCCTGGGCCCAGGTCCAGGGGTCCCCACCGCCAGGCTTCTCTCACCTGAGACTTGGACAGCTGCTGGGTCACCAGGTTGACATCGGGTGACTCTGAGGTGGAGGGTTGAGGGGTCCCCCTGGGGTCTGGAGGGGCTGGGCCAGGTGGGAAGTAAGGCAGAACACCCAGGGTGCTGGAACCAGGCATCCCAGGGGGTGGCACAAGCGACTGGGGGGCCAGGAGGCTGGAGGTGGTGGTGGTCTGGAGTGGAGCAGGGCCAGGGCCAGGCCTAGGAGGGCCAGCAGGGTGGGGAGCAGGGCAAGCGGCTGGGCAGGCCGGCTGTGGTGTAGGACCAGAGGTGGCGCCTGCAGGTGGTGGGGGTCCCGTGGGCTGGGCTACCGAGCCAGCAGGGCTGGTGGGCCGGGCCGGAGGTGTTGTTACTGTGGCCGGGGCTGGTGCAGGGGTGGGGGCTGGGGGCTGGGCCATCCGAGTCCAGCGCTCCAGCAGGCTGCGATCATTGTCACTCAGCACCAGTCCAGCCAGGGGATCGGTGGAGGGGCCCCCAGAGGCCCCAGTCCCTCGCTCCTTGCGCTCCCGCTCCTGCCGCCGCTTTTCCCGCTCCTTTGCTCGCTCCTGCCTCCGCCGCCGCTTTTCCTCCCGCTCACGCTGGCGCTCCTGGGCTGTCACTGGCTTCCGAGGCTCCGGCGCTTCTAGGGGGGCACTGGGCCCGTCTGCAGGGAAGTTGAACAGGGGAAGGTAAGAGCCTGTGGCCCTGTACAAGCCCAGAGTCCCTCTCCTGCCACCCCATTCCCCAGTCAGCAGCTGCTTCTGGAAGGCACCTCTGAGCCGGCTCCGCAAGGACTTGAGCAGGGCAGCTTTGAGGGCTGCCTTGGTGTTGTCGGAGATGGCGCCCTCCCTCTTTGGAGGGGCTGGTTCACTGGCCAACGCGGGGGGTGGCTGCAGGGTCATATCAATGGTGTCAGGTGCAGGGCAAGGGCATGGCAGTGGAGCTGGTGGAGGTGACTCCATGGCACAGTCCCCACTGGGAGCCCAGGAACTGGGCATCTCAATGTCGGGGCAGCTGGGCTCACTGGCCACAGGCTGCAGAGAAGGCTGGAAGCGTATCTGCTGGCGGATGCCCTCGCGCCTGGCGTGGAAGTCCTCAATCTCGGCCACAATGGCCTCCTTAATCCGCTCCCGGGTGAGGGCTTCCCGGTCAAAGGCAAAGTCAAAGGGTGGGGCACAGTCAGGCTCATCATCAGGGTCATGGTACTTGGCCAGGAAGGGGTGGCGAAGGGCAGCAGCTGCTGACATGCGGGCACTGGGCTCAAAACGCAGCATTCGCCCCAGCAGTGAGAGGGCCTGGCGGTCAGCACCTGGGTACACTGTCTCCCAGGGCACAGGCTGGCGTGGCGGCAGACTCTGGATATATGCCCGTACCCTTTCAGCCCCTACAGCCTGAATCACAGCTGGCGATGGGGTACCCAACACCGTCATGATCAGCTGCAGCTGGTGCACATAGTTTTTGCCTGGGAAGAGCTGGCGCCTGGCCAGCATCTCGCCAAAGATGCAGCCCACGGACCACAGGTCAATAGCTTGCGTGTACTCATGCAGCGACAGCATGAGCTCCGGGGCACGGTACCAGCGTGTGGCCACGTATTCGGTCATGAAGTACTGATGCTCAGCAGGCGATGTGCACAGGCCCCGTGCCATGCCGAAGTCTCCGATCTTGAGCTCACAGTTCTCATTCACCAGCAAGTTAGAGGGCTTGAGGTCGCGGTGGATGACCTGAGCTGAGTGCATGTACTTGAGGCCCCGTAGCAGCTGGTACAGGAAGTAGCGCACGTGCTCCAGCGTGAGCGGCTGCGAAGAGTGGATGATCTGGTGCAGGTCGCTCTCCATCAGGTCCAGGACCACGTAACTGGAAGGGACAGGGAAGATGCATGGCTGTCTTGCCCACACTCCAGCCCCAGCCTCACATGCCCTCCTGACTGCAGACATGTAATGGCCTTACCCTCAGATTCTGTAGGGGCCAACAGCATGGTATAAAGATCCTAGAGTCTCTACAGCTTTTCCATGAACTTAAGTGAAGTTAGATCCCTTTCTCTCCAGACCTATTTTCCCATGAGAAGGTGAGGTTGCACTAAACCAGGGTTGGCCAAGAGTTTTCGTTTGGCAGCCATCTCTATTATTTGGGAGTGGCTGCTTGAAAGACTATGATGAAAACTGTGGTATCTTGTCCATTTTCTGTAGGAACGTGTTCTGTGATTGACTAGTGATGTCTGCTGTGGGAAAAGGAGGGTGTGGTTATAGTCGAGTGTCCCACATTCGCCATCGCATATTCTGAGAGTCTATAAAATTGTAGCACCTGTACTCTTCCTGAGGAATCACAGCGGTCCCTGGGAATGCCCTAAGGCAGTGGTTCTCAACCTTCCTAATGCCGCGACCCTTTAATACAGCTCCCAACCATAAAATTATTTTCATTGCTACTTCATTACTGTAATTTTGCTACTGTTATGCATCGTAATGTAAATATCTGATATGCAGGATGTCTTTTCATTGTTACAAATTGAACATAATTAAAGCATAGTGATTAATCACAAAACAATAAGTAATTATATATGTGTTTTCTGATGATCTTAGGTGACCCCTGTGAAAGGGTCTTTCGACCCCCAAAGAGGTCGCGACCCGCAGGTTAAGAACCGCTGCCCTAAGGGAACACGGGTCCTGGAACCGTGGGAATTTTCCGGCCTGCCTTACAGAGGTTCAGCTGTCCTTCCAGAACGGTGGCAACCCGCTCCCAGCCTTCAGAAACACCCCAGTCCGGCCTCCGCTCCCAACACCCCTCCTTACACAGACGTGAACTCGCCGTAGGGCACGGTGGGCCTCAGGATGTCCTTGATGGCGATGATGTTGTCGTGCTTGAAGTGCTTGAGGATCTTCAGCTCCCTGAGGGTCCGCTTGGCATTAGTCACCACATCAAACGCATTGGGGATCTTCTTAATGGCCACCTGCTGGCCTGGGAGCAGAGGGAAGGCAGACACTGTAAGGTCCCTGGAGCAGCTGCCGTGGCACAAGGCCGCCTTCAGCACCTCCCATCCAGGACGCAAATAACAGCAGCTACCACCTACCGAGTAACAGCAGCTGCTGTATACTGAGCACCTCCTAGTGCCAAGCCCTGTGCTAAGCACTTTACAGACATGATCAGGTTCTCCCTTCTCATCCACCAGCTGAGACAGTTGCTAACGGCTCAACGTTAGATGAGGAAATCTCATCTCAGTAATTTACTGGGGGTGGCATAGCTAGTGAGTGGTAGTCTAGACTCCGTAATGCCTGCTCATTCTACCTCCCTACCTCCGCCCAGCACAGGATCTCCAACCGGGTCCAATCGGGACTCATTTTTCTAAGGAGGAAGTCGGCTGATGTGCTGGCAAAACCATCATGGCGGGTCTCTGAGACCCGTGCCCAACACAGAGCCTGGCGCCCAGAGGGCACCCACCCCATGTGTGACTTAAACCAGAATCTGCGCCCCAGCTTTCCCTCCTGGCTGTCTGGGACGGGCAGCTTCTCGCCCTCCGGAGGCGGTGTCCACACCTGGCACAGGACACCTGGGGCGGCTCACCGGTCAGGCGGCGGCGTGCGGAGGACACCACCCCGTAGGCGCCGTTGCCGATGGTCTCGATGATCTCGTACTCGTCCCCCACGTCAAAGGTCACGTCCAAGGAGCGCGCTTTCAGCAGGGCCAGGTTCTTGGCCGCTACGGAGGCAGCGGTGCCGGCGGGCTCCGCCTTCACTGGCCCGGGGGGCTCCCCAGAGCCGTCCTCGCCGTCTTCCTCCTTCAGGGGCTCGGCCATGGCGCCTGCGTGGAAACGCTGGTGAGGGGAGGCCCGCCCGCCAGGACCTCCCTCAGTTTCCCCTCTGAGGCTGGAGGGCAGGACCAGGGAACTTCCAAGTTCCCTAAGCCGATGGAGACCGGGTAGGAGGCACAGAGGGTGGCTGGCACGTGGGAGACGTCCACACCGGGACTCGGAGCTCGGAGCTCCGGGCTCGGGACTCCGGGCTCGGGGCTCAGGTCCGGTGAACGCAGGGTCGGGTGGGGGAGGCGCCCGAGGCGCGGTCCAGGAAGAAAGGGAGGGGCGGGGCACCGGCTGTCCCCGGCTTACACTCACCGATCGCGCCTCGCCGACGCCCCCTCGGGCTCTCGGAGGTCCCCGCGGGCCCCCGGCCTCCGGCCCAGTGGAGGGGACCCCAAAATCTCACTCGTTCAAGGCCGCCGCCACCACCTCAACGTCGCGCTGTGCCCCTCGGGGCCCTCCGCCCCGCCTCCCAAGACCACGCTCCCTCCAGCCTCTGGCCAATCGCCGGGGGGTTCTGCGGATTTCCCACCCCCTCTGTTTGCTTCGCCCAATACGAGCCCACCGACCGAGGAAGCCACGCCCCCGCCCCACCCCTCCGCGCGCTGCTGTCCAGCTCCCCGGCGGACGCCGCCCAGTGTGCGCTCGGCTCTCGCAGGGGTGTTCTCGGCGGGCGGCCCCGGCGCATGCGCGTCGGCAGCCCCGGCCGTGCCGAAAGGGAGGCCACGCCCCGTACGCGCGCGGGTCCCGATCCGCCGGGCGCCAGGCCGGGGGCCGCGGGCCTGGGGAGCCCCGAGCAGCTGAGACACCGGGCTGTCCTGGGGGCCGGCTCGCGAAACCCCCTCTGGCAGGCCCGTCTCCGTCGTCAGCCCCGTCGCTCGGGGATAGTGCCCGCCATTTCCCCGTCTTCCGGGGCGCTGGCTCCGGGACACAGCATCCATCCCACAGAGGGGACCCGTCACGGCCGCGCAGCTTCCCGGGCCTCGGGATTCTAGAGCGTCCAGCCCGAGGCCGCCGCGAACTCCGGGGCTGGTCTTCCTCACGGTCCCGGCGTCGCTGGGCCTCGGCTGCTCTCCAGCCTCCGGGCGTCCCCGCGACGGCGGCTCCGTCCCACGGCCGCGGGCTCTGCGGGCGGCGGCGAGCGGAGGGGCGTGGGCGGGGCCATGGCGCCCGGAGCCCGAGCGGGCAGAGCCCCCGCAGCCCGGGTGCCGGAGCCCCGCCCCGCGCGCGGCAGTTCCCGGTTCACAGCAGATGCTGAGCTGCGCTGGCGGCGGCGGACCGTAGAGGAGGCGCTCAGCGAGCGTCGGGGCCCCGAGGAGGAGGGTTCGGAGCGCGGGGTTTCGCCCGGTGGAAGCGGGGCAGGGGGGAGTCTGGCGGCGCACGCAGCTTGGGGTCTGGCTTCGCCCGGAGTCGGGGCGCGCTGGGCCCCACGTCCGCGGCCCTGGGTCTCCTCGGGCGCACGCAGGGCGGAGAGCGGGTCCGGACCGGATGAGTTCGGTGAGCCTGGAGCTACACTTTCCAAATGGTGTTGTTATATCCCCCACCATTGTGTTTTTTAAAACCTTTTATTAAAACATACAGAACGTTCCACTAATTTTCACAGACTTAATATGCCAGTGTATTGAATTCAGATGAAAGAAAAACGCATTTAAAAAACACACACATTACCAGCTCTTGGCAGACCCTTCCCTCTCCCGGTGGTGACAGCGTTATCCGGGAAAAGCGTGGATGTGGGAGTGGCTCCTGTTTCCAGGGTGCCGCGGGGATAGGCCTTTTTGGATGTGGGAGTGGCTCCTGTTTCCAGGGTGCCGCGGGGATAGGCCTTTTTGGATGTGGGAGTGGCTCCTGTTTCCAGGGTGCCGCGGGGATAGGCCTTTTTGGAGGCTGCCGCGGTGGGATGAGCTGTGGTAGAAGCTGTATTTCTGTGGAATTGCAGCCTAGGCTTGCACAGTCCCATCGCCCTCATCTAATCCTGGAGGACGTGCATGCAGCTGGGGATGCAGAGCGAGAAGCAAAGCCAGTGTCCAGGCTCCTTTCCTGGGGAGCTGGTCCCAGCAGGCTGGTTGCCGTCCAGGAGTCCTTTGTGGTGGCCACGTGACTCCGGGCCATGTGGACTCATGAAGGGGAGCCGAGAGGGCGCCAGAAGCCACGAGGGCAAGAGCACAAGAGGGAAAACTCCTTGTTTAGGAGATTAAATATCTCTAGGCCGGGTCAGTGTGGCTCAATGGTTGGGCATCGACCTATGAACCAGGAGATCACCAGTCTGAGCACATGCCTGGGTTATGGGCTTAACCCCCAGTAGGAAGCGTGCAGAAGGCAGCTGATCAATGATTCTCTCTCATTATTGATGTTTCTATCTCTCCCTTCCTCTGTGAAATAAATAAAAATAAACCTCTCAAATCATCCTGAGCTTGCAGTGGCCACACCTACTCTGGCCAGTGACCTGCTCCCGGGTGTGACTGACAAACAAGTACCTTCTGTCACCCAGACTTCACTGGGCTTGCGTCTGTTGCGGCCTGTCCAGTCCCTCCCGCAGCGATCTGCAGGGGGAATAGACCAATAGACCGAGCTTCCTGGCAAAGCTGCACAAGTGGGTGCCCATATTTGGCCTCCCCCACTCCTTTCCTGTTATTAGTAACTATGTTGAATTACAATGTTATCAATAGTTTTTGTTAACTCTTCCATACCTTTTTTTTGCATTGAATTCTAAGAGTTTTATTGGGATACATACATTGTCATAGAAAAGTAGATACTACATTTTTAAAAACTCAACATTAGAAAATATATTTAGGAGTACTAGTCAGTATCAGTATTAGAACAAATAGGTATCTAGTATTTAGATCCATAAAGATCAGTCCTGGCTCAGTGGATAGAGCGTCAGTCTGCGGAATGAAGGGTACTGGGTTGGATTCCAGTCAGAGGCACATGCCGGGGTTGCGGGCTCGATCCCTGGTAGGGGGCGTGCAGGAGGCAGCCGCTCAGTGATTCTCATCATTGATGTTTCTATCTCTTCCTCTCTGAAATTAATAATAACATTTTTATTTTTATTTTTTTTGAAAAAAGATCATATGGGCCTCCTGAGTTAAGGTTGAACTACAGTGGAACCTCAGTTCTCAAATTTAATTCGTTCCGGAAGGCTGTTCGAGAAGCGATTTGTTTGAAAATCGAATCATTTTTTTCCCATTAGAAGTAATATAAATTGAATCAATCCGTTCCAGACCCCAAATGATTCCGATTTAATCTTTCTTATATGTAGTGCATGTCTAATGTGCTGTTAAATCTGTAAACAAACACTTATTAAACTTGTTGAACCACCCCTACTAGCCTTAAACAAATTTTTAATATAAATCTGCTTCTGAAATGCTATCGCCGGCTGCTTTTCGTTTATCCAGCCACCATCGGCTTTTCTGCCTGTTCCCTTGGCTGTGGTGTTTTGGTGAGCACCTTCGCATCCTCGGCAACATCAGTGCTCTTGGTTGACTCTCTGTGTTTTGTGCTAGCCATTCTCCTTTGTTTGTTGCCTGATGGCCGCTTTGTGTCCTGCTGAGGTATCAGTATGAAAGGGTTGTCAGGTCCAAAACAAGTTTTGGTCCACAACCAAGACATTTTTTCTGTGAACAACTTGGCTGAGAGCTGAATTGTTCCAGATGGGAGGCCTTCGAGAAACGAGGTTTGATTGTATAAAATTTGTTACTGATTTTCCTGACAGCATAGCAAAAAGCCAAATTATCAGTTACATGATGGAACAGGAAGAAACCATCCTTGTGGGTGTGAGCCGAAAACCAGGATCACAGGCTTTATTAGGGGAAGTAGACCTGCCGGGCTGTCTCGAAAGAGGAGAGCAGCAACCCGTGCAGAGGTGAGCATGCCTTTTGAGGGCGAAATGGGAAGGAATGGGGCTTAGTGTACTCGGCGCACACTGATTGGTGGCTTACTGTATGGTCCATACAGGAACAAGGGCTTAGGGTATTTGGCAGGTGTGGATTGGTGGTCCAATGTATCGTCCATATAAGGTACATGGTTAGTCACTCAGGTATTTCCGGACTGCCGGTTATGCCATACTCCGCCCACCAGTTGGGGGGAAGGAAGGATCTATCAGTGGGAAGTGAACGTTTTATATCACTGAGGCCTGAAAAGAACGTTTGATGGCTTTTCCATAGGTGATACAGATGATCTCCCTAACCGTGAAATGTGTGGCACCCGGCCTGTGGTGCCCTCCAGCGTAAGCAGAGGTGTACAAAGGAGGACACATACGCACGTCTTTCAGGAAACAAAGTGGACAGCTATGTGATGGTTCTGTTTGATCCAGGAATAAAACATAAAACATCGGAAGAAACTCAAAACCTGTATGTATGCTTTAACTTCTTCTCTATAAGTATGTCAGCGAGGCTGTTTATACAAGTTACAGACTTCAGCATTCTTCTGGCAAAACTTGCTGATTCTCATTTACTTTCCAACCCATCATGAGCGGCTCTGCTCTACCCCCACCAGGCCCGACTCCTGGAAAAGTCATCAGTTACTTGACTGTATTCAAACCCAGTGGACATTCTTCTGTCGTCGGCTCGCTGAGGTCTGCTGCATGTGCCACAACTGACCGCTTCTTAGGAAGAAATGTTACACGTGGTTCAAAGGCTTAAGTGAAAAATCTTGGTCCCACCCTAGGGGCCACTTTTATAATTTCTTACTGGAAGTAAGAAACAAGCAATATAAATTCAACAAAGCAAATACTAATACACATTCTTACCCACCTCCCCTTTAATATATACAAGGTAGCATTTTACATACTTTTTCTGAAGATCATTAGGTATCAGTAACCAGAGAGGTCTCTCATACTTTTATTTTATTTTTTTTAATTGATTTCAGAGAGGAAGGGAGAGGGAGAGAGATAGAAACATCAGTACTGAAAGAGAATCATGGATCGGCTGCCACCTGCACGCCCCACACTGGGGATCGAGCCCACAATCCAGGAATGTGCCCTGATTGGGAATCAAACCGTGACCTCCTGGTTCATAGGTGGATGCTCAACCACTGAGCCATGCCGGCCGGCCTTATTCTTTTTTTATAAGAGGTGTTTTGAGAAATCATTCACATGCCCTGAAACATTGATAATGTGTAATTCAGTGTTTTATAGTATGTTGACACTTGTGCAACCATCACCACTACACAGTTTGAAAACATTTTCATATCCCACAAAGAAACTGTTCATAATCACTCCTTGTTTCCCCTCACCCGTCCCTGGCAACCACGACGTGGTGGGCAAGCAACTGTTAGTCTGCAGGGGGCGGTAGGGCTTCCCTGCTTCCCTCAGCTGGCTCTCCTGCTCCGGCTCCTGGTGCCACCTATGGGGCAGGGTGGCCTGTGGACTAGCAGACAGGATGCTCCTTCCCAAGAAGGGGGCCGGTTTAACAGATGAATCTGCAGACGACTTGTCTGTTCTCAATGGGAGCATCTTAGC